AAACAAATCGAACAAGCTGTTTATTTCTTTATTCATGGTCTGTTTTTACTGTTTATCTTTTTTCCTTGCCAATCCTCGAAAACGAATGTATTATGCATTTCACAGAGGAAAGTTTGCATATTGATGAAACATATGGGCGCAGGCCAAGATTTAAACCCACTCAAGTGTGAATTTGGCGCATCTTCACTCATCTTCTTCAACTAGGAAATGGACTTCATTGTAGCCTTAGGACAGGATGGTGAAATAAAATTGATAAAAGAACATCATAATCAGATTATCCGACCCCGGAAACCCCATGAATTCATCAACTTTTATCATACTGGTCCTTTTCCTTTTGAAACTACGCTTTACCTTTAACTCGGATGGCGGCCATTTTTTATTTGGCCAATATGGCCAGCATGACAGCCCCAAGGAGACCTGCAATATTGATACAAGCAACATCATAATCAGATTCTCTGACCCAGAAAACCCCCTTACTATATAATTTTTTTTTTTATCATTTTAGCTCTTTTCCTTTTGGAACTACTATTGATCTGGAACTATCAAATGGCGGCCATTTTGGATTTGACCAATATTACCAGTATGACCCGAGGAGATCTCAAATCGATGAAAGAATATCATAATCAGATTCTCTGACCCCGAAAACCCCATAAATATATAAACTTTTATCATACTAGCCCATTTTCTTTCGTAACTACACTTGACCTGTAACTATCAGATGGCGGCCATTTTGGATTTGACCAATATGACCAGTATGGCAGCCCCAAGGAGATCTTAAATTGATAAAAAAATATCATAATCAGATTCTCTGACCCCCAAAACCCCATAAATATATAAACTATTATCATACAACCGCTTTTCCGAACTACGCTTGACCTTTAACTCAGATGGCGGCCATTTTGAATTTGCCTAATATGGCATACCCAGAGGGTACCCTTCTTGGCGTCCGGAAGAAATCGTAAAAGTATGGTATAATCTACCTCTGGGGCAAATTTGGTGCTTTTAGAAGAATCTGCACCAAACAACCCCTATTTAGCCCTAACAGCCTCCACTATATTGACTATGTATATGTGTGGACTAGAGTACGGACATTCGGTGCGGCAGGCGGACTATTGGTGCGAGACCTCTTCCGCATGGATTGTCCGTCAGACATTTGAGGCGCACACGGAATGTCCGACACGGACATTCTGCGCGGATAAAATCCGCACCGATCGTCCGCTCTCGATCGATCTCTAATAGTCGGACGATCGGTGCGGGTTACATTCTACGCGGTCACACCGGCCATACGTAAATGGCAGTGACGGTAACGACGAATTAGGAGGAAGGGGTGCATACGTGAACTACAAGCGTATTGGGGATGATCATACTATCATTTTAGAGTGTGCAATCTGGGTCAGAATCCAGCATAATATATTTATAAAAAAAGAGGTTCACATAAAAGCACTCATGATAAAGCCGCGCCCGGCCCCTACAACATCATTTTGGATTTTCAGATGATGGGGCGGGTGGCAGGGGTAGGGGGCAAAGTTCGCCCCACTCTTCAAGTACCCCCCCCCCCCTAAAAGGGCCACTTTTACTTTGTAAAGAAGTGCCCCTTCCCCTTTTTAACTCGGATAAGCGCACATTTCATCAACACATGTGCCCCCTTTCCTATCTGATAAGGGCTATTTAAAAAAATGAGGCCCTTCATAAATAAAAAGTGTCCCTTTTCATCTCTGGTAAATGACCATTTTCATATATATGAAGTTAATTCGTTTCACTTCAGTGCGCTCTTCACCTCCGATAATTGCCCCTATTCGAATCTGAGAGATGCTCATTTTACCTTGAAAAGTACCCCTTCCCCTCCTGATAAGTACTCTTTTCATCTATGATGGGTGCCCATTTTCACCTTTGCTAACTGCCCTTTAATTTTGAATCGTGCCCCTTTTCCTTTCTATATAGGGACCTATCCCCTTCTCATAAATGCCCCTTTTCACCTCTGATAAATCAATTTCTGATGGATGCCTCTTTTCCGTCGACAAATGCCCATTTCCCATACTCATAAGTGCCCTATCTCATTTCTGGTGAGTGCCTCCTTTCAGGTGTAAGAAGTGCCCAGTTTGAACCTTTGATAATTACTCTTTGTACCTTGACACATGCTCCTTTTCTTTTCTAATAAGTGTCTTTATCCCTTTCGATATGTGTCCCCTTAACCTCTCATCATCGGGGGGGGGGGGGGGCACGTGCCCCCATAACCTGCTCATCATTAGTCTTGCACCAAATTTAAAGCGACTAAGAGTAATTTCCCCTATAGCTCGCTCGCTCGCTCGCATTTATAGATGATACAATTATAATTATGTCACTTTAAAACAAATGTTTTTTAGTCTTCCGTGATGCTTATAACCCCATCATGATTCCCCCCCCCTCTTTATAAGATGTAATTTTTTACTCTACGACCTCACAGATCTTACATTTTTTCTCGCTCGCTTTGCTCGCTCGCAAATGAATATTCAGACAATCACACTTAGCCGAAAGTGTGATGCTTAAGCAATAACTTGTATGATATATAAAGAAAAACAAATATTGAAATCGTCCCTGATAATGGGATCACAATGAAAGGGTATATACCAATGTCTAAAAAAATGTATATTTTCGCTTTGAGATTTCGCTTTGTAGGTGCCCTTTTTGTTGGTGCTTTCCACTTTGGAAATAGCTCCTCCGCCCCTGCTTACGCATTAGCGCCAGCGTTAATTTCACGCTGGCGCGCACAGGGTGTGTGTGTGTGTGGGGGGGGGGGGGGGGTTCCTCTCTAGCTCTGAAGCTGATTTTTTTTTATACCTAGATTCGTGCGATTCGGTTAATACTTTTAGAGGGAGTCTGATGGGTGATGTGCCCCCCTCTGAAGCTGACATTTTTTTGGATTTTTGAAACTGGATTCGTGCGTTTTGGTTAACAATTTTTTGGGGAGTCTGATTTGATTTCAAAACACCTGCAGTTAATGCGTGATGGTGTTGCAGCCTCTCTTTCCCCGAAAATTTAAAAATTACCAATATGCATTTGTTATATCTTATCTCGTATATTTTGGTGACAATTAACACTTTTCACAACATACATAAGCTCAAATTTCCGCTCACTCGCTTCGCTCACTCGCCAAATTATTAAACCAGGAAATAGATATTAGGGCAAGAGGCTTCAGCCCCCACTGATGGAAATGTCAAAAAAAAATTGCGCGCGAGCATAACTTGAAAACGGGGAATGTTGATATCGGACAAGAGATGTGACGTGAGCATGTCCCCTTTCCAAAATAATTGTGCCCGTTTGTAGGTACCAATACACTATTAAAGTACAGTGCTTCTAATATGACCTTGTCAGTATTGGTAAGTTTATATAACGGTCTGCGCGAATTTCGAATTTCCGGCCCCCCCCCCCCCCCCCCCCCCCCCCTATTGGAAAATCCTGGATCCGCGCCTGCATGATGATTATTGACCTCCTTTAAATTTATATTTATATGGAAGACTTAAGAAGACAACTGTTTACAGTCCAACTAAGAGTGTAGAGCATGCCGTGTAGACTAAAATGTGCAATGTTGTTCAATTTCTGAATTCTTTGTTTAAAAAACTTGCTTGCTGTCAATAGTGTATACATTTTTTATACGTTTCAAATGTCTAGTCCGGTTAAAAATAGCACGTAATGATTACATTATTTGACACGTATTTCACATTGATTTATCTTATCGATAAGCGAAACGATTTGCTTTAGTACCATATAACAAATATAACAGTAATGACAAGTATGGTTTTCCTGAAAATTGCATTATACAATGTTTATTCATCGTTATGGAAAATGTTGTATACTATACAACAATGGGCATTAACATTTTCCAGACCATTGATTTAATTACGTTTAATATTGAAGCTGTTGCCCTTTGTATATACATGAACTTGAAATAACAAGTAGCCTTGAAAGTGCCGCAATAAATCATGTGTGAGTGAGCTTGAAGTTTAATGGTGTAGGTTTGTTTGAAACTGTATAGCCTTTACTCTGTTTTTAATGAGATATATCTCCAATCAAATCAAATCAAACTGAGTGATGTTATCGTACAACTAAACAATATCAATCTTCTGTTCTCCTAAATAAGCCTGGGAAACTTGAAAATTTGCTTTACAATGTGAATTCATTGTCAGTGAAAATGTAATACAATACACAACAATGGGCAAATAATTGTTTCCAGACCAATGATTTAAGTAAGAAGAACTTACATTTTATACTGAAACTGTTGCCGTTGTATATACATCAGGCGCGGATCCAGGATTTCTTAGGGGGGGGGGCAAAAATTGAAATTATGCGAGCCAAATATTGGTTCGTAATGGTGACCAGCAGTGACGTAATTGGGGGTGGGAGGGTGCAGGGAGGGGCGAGTTTCCCCCTCCCTCCTCCGCGAAACGCGGAAGCTTTGACATTTCAATAAATTATTAGAGAAAGAAGACGATTTGTTGTACCGTTCCCAAAAAATAATCCTAGTCTGAATTGAGTTTTCCACCTCCCGCGCTAAGCGGAAGCTTACGTTTCATTAAATCATTCGAGAAAGAAGACGATTTGTTGTGTCGTTATCCCCTTTTTTTCTTTTCTTCTTTCTCCTTTTTCCTTTCTTGTATCTCCTCTTTTCCTTTTTTTCCCCTTTCCTTCCTTCTCTTTTATTTTTTGATTGGGGGGGGGGGGCAACAGCCTGGGAGGCAAGTCCTTTTGCCCCCCCCCCCCCCCGATCTACTTCTTCCCTCTTTTCTTTTCTTCTTCCTCTTCTTTTTTCCCTTTCTCTCCTCTTTCCCTTTCCTTCTTTCCTTCTCTCTCTCTCTCTTTTTTTTTTTTTGCGGGGGGGGGGGGGCCAAGGCCCGCTCGGCCCCCCCCCCCCTGGATCCGCGCCTGTAACCCAGAGATGTTAACAAATTTATAGGACCTTTTATTCAAAGAGATTCGATCATTCCTAGTCAGTGTGACATCCTTTTAGTATTTCGTATTTGCGCCCTCTTACGTTCAAGCTTTGGTAGAAATAAGTCACGTAACTAATGAAAACAACTTTGCCTTGTCTCCGGATTCTAGTCGTCTTGAGAGGGGTTTTTCCTCTATATTGTCATAATTTGTATTGCCACTTGTTCAGAAATGACTTCAAATCGAAGGGGTTCAGATACCAAAAGCAGGGAGAATGTGGCTTTTCTCAAGACGCGAGTACAAGAGGTAAAGTGTACATTGCCGATTATGCAAGGGCAGTCCCGTACGTTAAGAACCATGTTGCCTCATTAATGGTGGGCATTTGTTGTTTGAGATTGAAATAGTCTGATGGAAAGTGTTTATAGTGTTTATAGTTATAGATCGCACAGTAATTCTAAGAATCCTATACGCTTTATAATTCCTTTATTACAAGCTAGAAGAAATGAAAGCTAGATGATAGATCTATTCTTCGAATTCTTAGGAATTGAAATGGAAATAATTTTGGAACAACTGCAGAATAATTGAATATATTACACCAGTTTATGGTTGTGTGCGCCATTTTAAACAAAGCCAATGACCTAGAGGTCATGTATTTATGCGTAAATTAAGGTTGCGCCTATGCAAATTATGATGACATCACTGCCTACGCGCTGCGTTTGGCGCGCACATCATCATTTGCATGGGCGCAATCTTAATTTACGCATAAATACCACTGGTCAAAGGTTATTGGCCCTGTTTCAGGGCCAATGACCCGAGGTCAACTGTCTGCGCATGCGCACTGATACAACCGTAAACTGCAGAATACCCTAGACCTACCATGGTTTTACAGAATTAGAACTAACAGTCTGACAAATATTAGAAAAATAGAACTAGATCTAGAGGTCTAGAAGTCAATTACCAACAACCATCGACCAAATACTACTGAATGTAAGAGTCCAACGACCATCAACCAACAGTCTGACAAATATAGACTATTAGAAATTGAAACCAACGACCATCTACCAAAAAATATTGAATGGAAGAGTCCAACGACCATCGACCAACAGTCTGACAAATATTAGAAAAAGAGGCCGGCCCACGACCATCGACCAAATAGTGAGGCATATTTGTTTTAAAGAGCCAACGGCCAACGACCATCGACCAAGGACTCACAAATATTAAAAAAGAAGCCAACGACCATCGACCAAAGACTCACTATTAAAAAAGAAGCCAACGACCATCGACCAAGGACTCACAAATATTAAAAAACAGGCCAACAACTAATGACCATCGACCACCCACCAATACTAGTCTAGTCTAAGCACAAAACTAATTTTTTCTTTTGTATTTTTAGCATGAGACATTCCACTATAATAAGCACAAAACTATTATTTTTCTTTTGTATTTTTAGAACGAGACATCACTTGTTGATTAAAATATCTAATAGGGTCTTTGAAAGCAGACTAGCAGTGTAAGAGAGGGCACGAGGTACAAACAAATAAGTGTGTGGGACTATGAACGGGCTGGACATTTTGTGTTACTGAAAGAATTCAAGTAATTCATCTATTAAATGACTATAACAGACAATAAACAAGACAAAGGTAAGGAAAAGAATCAGTGCTTATCAATATAACAGACATTTTGCATGAAATAACATCAGGAAAGCCATTTAAATTTGTCACAAATTAGCGACAAACACACCAAATTCAGCGCTGCAATGACGCACAAAACGGCGTAGAATTCAACTTTTCATCCACTAAATGAATTCAAACACTTGCATTATACAATCTTTAATACCTTTATCACCGTTATCGCAAATAATAAAATCACAATCTATATCTACAGCTAATATATGAATACTAACAATATGGTAGGGTATTCTGCAATTAAGCCATAATTTTTATAATTTATTGGACAAACTTTATCCAATAAATCATAAAGAACATAGATCTACATGTAGTCTAGATCTAGGCCTAGAATTATACCTATAGAAATCTTCTTTTTCTTCCTCTGTAAATGCTACTTCATACAACAAAGATTACGCACTACAGTGTGGTGTGTGCCATGTCCAAAATGTGTGTAGGTCTAGGCCTCAATCCAGGTTCAAAATATACAGTGATGATGTGCTGTTAAAAACGTGGACAGCGATGTGCTGCCATCACTAGTTGGACGCTTCCTTCAATGCCCTTTTAAAGGCATCCAGAGAAAGGAAGTCTGCAGGATCCTTCTTGAGGTTGTTCCACTCTCTACTAGAGGTTGTTCCACTCTCTACTAGTACGAGGGAAGAAGGATGAGAGGAAATTAGATCTAGTCTGGTTGTTGCAGTAAGGTGTCCAAAAGCGAGAGCTGTGTGTCCCCTGGTGCGTGATGATGATTCTGTTTACAAAAGTGATTACGGTTAGATTTCATGCATTGCTTTATAGGAGCTAGAGTGAGAAATTAAATATAATGTCTACTCTAATGCGATAGTGTACTAGAGTCTACTAGTCTATACATGGGCGCTTGTTCAGAAACCTATCCAAAATTTGACCTGTAACTCCGGCGTGGAGATACCCTACTAAAACATACCCAAAATGAAGTAAATATTCATTACATGTCCATATAAATATCATGAGTTAAAATTTGTTATGTCAATTACCTGTTTCGTGTCAATTTTCTTGTTATTTTTGGAGTATTTTTTGGATAAACGTTGATATTAGTATACACTTTTTCACAGGTTTCACGGCAAACCGCTGCACAATACATCTTACAAGTGCATACCGATGGTGGGTTGCGGGCGGGCGCGTGCCTGTGTGAAGTTATCTACCGTAATGTCTCAGATCCTCATTACGGTAGATACTAATTTCACTAAAAATGATGGGTGAGATTGAGGTAGATTTAAATAAGACAAGTCAAAACTGAAGGGAAAATGGGAGCATGATGCTATTGAAACAAAGTAAAAATCAAATTGTGTAAATTTCTGATTTCGACTCGAAGTCATAAAGGGAATTTCAGACTGAGTTCAGACTGCAATTTTCTGTTTAGATCTAGTAATATTGTAATTGCATTTGGTTGAGTTTGGTAGGTCATAACCATCACTTCGAAATTTGTTTTACTTGCTAAAGTGACTTATGAAAAGCATTTATAGTAATTAAATAACACTCTTAAAATGCGTCCTATTTCAACTCACTTTAAAGTTGACGCAGACTGTATACATCATATTGCTTTATTTTCTGTTTTGACTATACAGCTTGAATCCGAAGTGACTTCTCTAAAGAAAAGACTGGATGGCTTGAGAAAAGCTAAGAATACAACCGTACTCAAGAAAGAGAAGGAGTATGTTTCTGTTGGTGCATCAGATTCAAATAGAACTAGTAAAAGGTAATCTTATTCATAGAAAAACAAGTCATTTTTGTGTTGTCTTCTCTGTTTCCCTACCTTCTCATTTTCTACTTCAAGATTCATAGGCTTAGACTTTTAAAAAGAAATATTGATGTTCATATACTTTGATATATGAAATGATAAGTATTCATTTTTTCTGTGAAGTATTCCCCCTTCTTTTATACCCTATTCTCACCCCATGCCCACCCCTTCTCTCTCTCTCTCTCTCTCTCTCTCTCTCTTCTCATATGTTGCATCTTTCTTCTTTGGTATTACTTAAGTAAGTTGCAAGTTGAGAAGAAAATAATCTTACATGAGTTTCGGTTAAAAATAGCTTTTATTAAATCATTTTCACATGAGATAATTTAGATTATTGCATTCCATGTTTATTTAAATTTATTCATAATGAGTGAATTTCAAGCATCTTATTTTATTATAGATCTTTTAAATGTTCAGATATTTCAGTGTGTCCTGCATTGTTGTGATCATAGTTTATCATGATTAAAACCTTGATCAAAACAAGATTAACTAGAACAAAGGAGAATCTTTTTTCCCCCTTGTTATCTGTGCTATCAGACCATCAATCTCAGAAGATAAGAGCAGTGAATTACAGAAGAAACTGAAAGATCTGAGTCTTCAACATGCAGATGAGATGAGTGCCCTCAAGAAAAAACATAGTGCAGATCTCCAAAAGGTGCAAGTAAGTGAAATACAGCCAATCATGTCTCTGAAGGCCACTTTAGAAAAACAGAAAAAGTGACCCTGTGATCTTTCAACACCATATACTTCCTTATTCTTTATATAGAAGGAGACAATATAGGTGACCTTGTTAGACAGTTGGACGCAATAGGCGCATCTTCATCATCTCGAGGTTGCCAAATAGCCCGCTATTTCTGATTTGGGAAATAATCCCGAAGTTACAAATCGCGTCTTCATCAGCTCGAGATTCGAGACCTCGAAACTTGAAACTCGACCTCGAGAAATTAGCTTGAGATATTTGCTCAGTGTTCGCGCATAGTGCGAGTCTTCGGTCTGGTGAAGACGCACCGGACAAATAGCTGGATATTTTGCCAAATAGTGGGATATTTTGCACACTATCCCAAGATATCTTGGGATGACGATCCCGACCATATATCCCTCTAATTGCAACTTCGGGCTGATGAAGATGCAAATTAGCTGGATAGTTTGCGATCGAGATAGTTCAAATAGTGGGACATTTGGCAATCTCGAGCTAGTGAGGACAGGCCTATTGAAGCATAATTGGCCTCTCATGACTTTGGACTTTAGTTTAATGCATAGTTTGTTGGATTGTTTGTTTATAAATGTTTGTGAATTTTTTCAGACCATTCATTACATTTTTATAAGATCCAGATTAAATCATTAAACATTATTATTAGCAAGTCAGGGTGGCAATTAAGTTTACCGGTAGTTCTTTAAATTCCATGGACCTACGAGAAATCACACTATGTAAAATGTTTCAAATGAAAGTTTTGAAAAGGCAAACATACAAATACAATTTTAAAATAAATGAAATACATTTTTTTCAATGATTAATTTTGAAGAATGAGATTTGTTGCAAATTTGCAACATAAGTAATTTATTCATTTTTTTCACACAAATACAGCCAATCTGTGCTTAAAGGCCACCAAAGGAAAACACTAAAAAATGGCTACTGTAGACAGTTGCCTCTCAGTGGATCTGAACTATGCATGTTCTTTATTTAGATTCTAAAATAGGAGGATGTAGATGAGATAGGGGATAATGGGATAAAGATGTCAACTATATATACAGGGGGGTGTTCCACAAAGATTCTAAGTCAAACTTAATTCTAAGTTGGACTTAAATATTATGAAGTGCCATTTGTAGCCTCATAATGAAATATATTAAAGGCACACTGTCCTACTTGTAGCTACTGGCTCCCTCTATATAGAAAACTTCCCCAATCGGTGCCTGTTGGTCCCCCATGATCCTCTTTTTCTTATGTTAAATGAGAGCTGAGTTAATGAGATAGCCATCTGTCACAGTGACCTCGCTGGCTCACTGGGTGGTCTAATCTCTTCTAGCTGAAGTAGTAAAGCCTGCCTTTAAAAAGCAAAAATTCAAGTATTTCAGACTTTTCATAAATTCCACATCAAGAGCATGAAATCTCCCATGACAATAGATAATATGAATGATTTGAATCAACATTTTATGCCTTTTAAAATAACTTTTACAAAATATTTTCAAAGATGCTAAAGGCTTTCCATAATTGTCCAACTTAGAGATAGGTTCAACTTAGGATCTCTGTGAAACATCCCCCTGGTGGACTGTACAGAGAGGTGGCCGGTTGAACAGATTTGACTGTTTCTTTATGTGCAACTATCTACCAACATTTGAAAGTATACAGTGATAAGATAAATTTGATTGCAAGTTGTATTAAATTTGTTACTTGTATACTATCACAGTCTGAGAGAGTCCAACCCACTCCCCCTGAGAGTTGTAATCATGAAGAGGAGATACTTCAGCTCAAGGGTGAAGTCACTGAACTGAGAGAGAAGAACGCCAAGTTAGAAGATGTGAACTCGGCGCTCAAAGCAGAAAATATTTCACTTCATGATAAATTTGAGGAACTCTTCACAGAGCTAAGTCTTAAAGAAGCACAGTGGTGTGAAAAGGAAGAACAATTAAATTTAAAGGTATGGTATATCTGTGATGGGGGTAGGGGGGTAGGGGTGAAGTTCGTTTTTTTATAAATTCCTTTCTTATCAAAATTGTATTTTCTAATGTAACATGTAGTATTTAAACATAAAAGAAACAAGTTTCATTTTTATATACACTGTATCTTGCCAATTTATGTATTACTATGTTCACAGAAAATAAAGTTTCAGCTGATTTTTTTTCTTACAGCTCAAGTTGCAATGGGGAGAGAAGTACAGAGAATGGATGGAAGCCACTGAGAAAAAGATTGCAGAGTTGCAACGAGCCAATGAATATTTGTAAGTGTTTTGTTTTCTTAACTTTTTTCTTCAAATCCTTTGTAGCTGTATGTATAGACTTTGGATTACATTGATATTTTAATGAACATTACATGATTACATGTTGTATTATCTTCTATACTTTTTACTTGCATCTTAATGTGGCAAACAAGAATAATTTGTCATGTTCAAATTTCAATTTCAGTTTTTTGTTTATACTATTTAAACGTCACCAAATGCATGACCCTAACAACTAGGGTTAGTGCTTAATAATCAGTTTTGATAATTTGTTTGTTTTTTGTTTTGTTTGTTTGTTTGTTGCTTGTTTTCTGTGTTTTCATAAGATTGATCATCATAGCACTGATCATCATAGAGTAATATTTGAATTCTGTGGATCATGTCTCCTAGAAAAATCAAAAGAGACACATATGCGTATGCATGTTAACCCTATACTGTTCCTCGGTGCCTCTCTCTCTCTCTCTCTCCCTCTTTTTATTATTTCCATCGCTTATTTTCTCATTTCCCCCCTCCCTCCCATGCAGACGGACCTGCCTGAAATCTGGAGATTAGCAGTCTGAGCTGCGTTCTTCCCGTGTATCATCATTCCAAAGAGATCGGTATCTATCAGTATGGATTGGTTCCTGTTCCAGTCCTATTGTGAATATGACATTTCACTAGTTGATCAATGCACTTGTATCTCAACCCTTATCATGACCAAAGATTTGTTAAAGGTAAAGACCAGTATTGGAAACGCCCCAAATTTCAAAAAATGAAATGGAAGCTCTTATTACCAATCATGTGAAAGAATATGTTTTGACTAATACATGATGATAAAATTTTTGCCAGGAAACCGCCTACTAATTGATATATTTGGTAAATTAGTTTATCTACATGGTCTGTGAGAGATAAACGCACGTGTCGCGCACGTGTGCGTATAGTCCCATATACATCTTTCTGTGTACAGTGCTTGTAACTTTACGAAGACTGGCCCATATTTCTTATCATTTTGATGATTCCAGAACCTTGCAGTACACACCAATACTTATATGCTAGATCAACCTTTTCTGATCGATTCCACAACTTTTCTTTCACAATGCAATCGCATGACCATAACTGGTCTTTACCTTTAAGGCTGAAGGAATCTACTTTTCCTTTCCAAATTGGCAACTTTTATTCTTAAAATGCTTTTTCGAACATCCTCCTAAAATATTGCAACAACAACAAACAGAGTTGCCAATTTAAGGAAGGGTTGGTTTGCTCGATGTACATGTAGTGTTTTAGTTTAGGTGTGCAGGCTGAATATGAACCTTCAGATCGTCCTCAAACACTTGGAGTTACAGCAACAAGAAGGAGAAAACAACTTTCTAAAGAAATATCTCACCCATGATTTTTCTGAATATTCCTAATATTTATGTAAAGATGCCAATTTGTAGAGGTGTCGTGGTCCGATACGTCACCGGAGTGTGGATCACATGGTCTGCGGTTCAAGTCTCGTCGCAGCACAGTTCAAGTCTGTCCTTTTGCAAGACATTAATATGCTTTTGCCACACTTGACTCAGGTGAGGTAAATGGGTAGTACCTAGACACGAATGAATTCCTTGAAATGCTAGAGCGCCATATTGGCAGCCATGTTAATAACTGTGGAGCACCAGAGTGTCAAGTCTGACAGATATGAGCCCTGTACAAGAACCCACTATTATTATTACCGGTATAATGATTTTGCACATGCCTATATCTTGTGAAAGTGATTGAAGATTTGAATGTCCTGTTTGCCTTAAAATACGTTCATTAATTGCACGGTTAAAAAAGGGAACTATTCATTCGTGACATTTGTGACATTCATTTCTGTCTGTATGCTTCATTTTATTATCTAGTCTCACAATGCAGCACCTTAATTGAGTATGAAAAAAGAGAAAAATCATACCCAATTATTTTGTAGAAAATAGAGTGGAGTGTTTATAGGCATATAAGGACTCATTTCTATTGTGACATTTGACATTCAACTTTATTTGAAACAAATTGTTACATGAAAACGTCAGTAGTATGTAGGAAATTGAGCTTTCAAAACAAACAGTATTATATTACAGTGATCATGGTGTGATTCCAATGAATTTGTATGTGATGTTGAGAGGGCTTTTGAAAGGGTGTGTTTGTACTTGAAGATTTTGAATAATGACAGGAGAATGAATTTCTCTCTGAGGTGCATCATAAGTTGTGATAATTTATCATGAAAGCTAGGATTGGAACTGAGCTATAAAGTCCAGATCTACAATGACTTGGTCAAATTCTGATTTATATAAAATATGTGTGTTTAACATATTATATTTGTATCTATGTTGCATTCATTGAAATTGTATATAGAAAGAAAAATGTATCCATGCAATGTATCACTTGGATAATATAATGATCCCTTTTATTCTGTTATAAAGATTCTATTAGCGAGGGAGTCGTATAGTACACAATAAATAAAGCAACAAAACCTAAAAAATATCCCTCCTGTTTTAATTACGATATTTGCACCAAAGAAGCTGACTCGCAAAACAAACTGATTTGATCAGCTTTGAGCAAGTGATATAGATTGGTTTATTTGATTATTAAAAACCCTCCAAATAATTATCATTGCCTAATTAGAAATAGCCTAAAGTGTAACAATCATCTATACAATAATTTGTCTACTACTAGAATGTATATAATCGCAACATTTTTAAAAAGTCCATCCTATCGTCCTTGTTTTCACGAAGTGACGGTAGTGAGGAAAATCGTAACGCAAAGTGAATGCAATTTTTTTTCACTACCGTCACTTCGTGAAAACAGCGACGCTATATATATGGGCCAACAGAAAAGGAGTATGTACACAATTAAAATTAAGATAAAGCTACTCAGATGGAACCTAAGTCAGGTATATTGCAGGCCTTCTTTTGAATGTTACACTTTCACAAATGTCATCATTTTACTACTTCATGTGATGATTTATATCTTGTACATATATTTTATTATAACTTGTTATGATATACGCAAAGATCTATTTACTTTTGTCAATAACATGTTCTTACTGTTGTCGTTTATATTTTGTTTACATGTAGATATTGAACTACATGAGGTATAGAAATCTACACACATGTATTGCATTTCCATCATGTGAATGTGATTTAATCATAGTTTTATTTATAAATATATAACTGCAGTTTGTGCTTCCTAATTCTTGAAAAATTATGATGAACTCAAAGTTAATCATACTCTCTATGCAGAGTCAAAAGGGTGTCAACTGATAAAGTGTTATAAGAACTTCTGCCTCCAAACAGAAAATATACTCTTTATGACACATGTATGGTATAATGTATGTTCAATCTACCAGTCATTTATGCAATATAGATTAAAATATATTCATTTGATGTACCAACAACATTAATTGATGACTCTTGTTATGGATTTCATAATATTGCAGGAATTATAATCCAATGTCATCATATAATTATGTTATCCTTGTTATGTGTATTACGCCTGTGCCACCAAAAGATGACATGACTTTCTTCTTCTTCTTCTTCTTCTTCTTCTTCTTCTTCTTCTTCTTCCTCTTCTTCTTCTTCTTCTTCTTCTTCTTCTTCTTCTTCTTCTTCTTCTTCTCCTTTTTTTCTTCTTCTTCTTTTTTTTCTTCTTCTTCTTCTTCTTCTTCTTCTTCTTCTTCTTCTCCTTTTCTTCTTCTTCTTCTTCTTCTTCTTCTTCATCTTCTTCTTCTTCTTCTTCTTCATCTTCTTCGTCTTCTTCGTCTTCTTCGTCTTCTTCTTTTTCTTCTTCTTCTTCTTCTTCTTCTTCATCTTCTTCTTCATCTTCTTCTTCTTCTTCTTCTTCTTCTTCTTCTTCTTCTTCTTCTTCTTCTTCTTCTTCTTCTTCATTTTCTTCTTGTTTCTGTTCTTCTTGTTTTTCTTCTTGTTCTTCTTCGTCGTCTTCTTCTTCTTCTTCTTCTTCTTCTTCTCTCTTTCACCTCCTTCATCTCTATGTTCATCATTTTTCTTCTTCTGCTTCTAATTCACCTTCTCCATTTTTTCCTTCATGTCTGATATTAGTTGTAACAAATGCACGCTTAGCTATTGATGCTCAGGTGTATACGCATGCTATAAGCATTATACAAATGTCATGAGAGCACGTGTACGTACTAATGAGAAGAAATATAATGGATCTGTGAAAGAGATATCGTGAAGAATTAGCTAAGGGACCGGGAAGAGCCAGGAATGTGACTCTGATCAAAGAAGTTTGTGAGGGTGTGGTGAGAATGGGGGTTGGGGAGTGCATGTAGGAATCGAGACCTATAGATCGAAAGAAAAGAGAGAGAGAGAGAGAGAGAGAGAGAGAGAGAGAGAGACTGGAGAAAGACGGAAGGAGAGAGATCGAGACTGGAGAAAGATGGAGAGAGAGAGAGAGAGAGACTGGAAAAAGATGGAGGGAGAGAGAGAGAGAGAGAGACTGGAGAAAGATGGAGGGAGAGAGAGTGAGAGAGAGACTGGAAAAAGACGGAGGGAGAGAGAGAGAGAGACTGGAGAAAGATGGAGGGAGAGAGAGAGAGAGAGAGAGAGACTGGAAAAAGACTGAGGGAGAGAGAGAGAGAGACTGGAAAAGATGGAGGGAGAGAGAGAGACTGGAGAAACTCAACAGTCAAATTTTAAATTAACGGTAGGGCCGCTTCACAACTCTTATTTTGCCCTTCATTTGGATTCAGCTCATACCAACTCGCTTGTGCTTGTATTTGAACTCATGTTGGTAGTAATCATGGACAGGGGCGGCAATCCTTGGCCCGATAGGGGGACACGTCCCCCAGGAAATTTAGAAATATAGCTAGAAAGAAATATAGCGGAAAGAACGTACATATTGGGCTTAGGGATTTTCTAGAATGCATAACTTCAGCATTCAACATTTCTACATTATTGTGTGCTATCACAATCATGATTGTTTCATTTTCCCTTTAAGCAGGCGCTTAGCCAGGGGCGGTAGGGGCAGTAAGAGGACATAGGACGAAAACGGAGCAAACAAAGAAACATTTTTGAAAATCTGACAAGGCGAGAACGATACAACGAACCCTCTTCTTTCTCCAATAATTTAATGAAATGTCAAAGCTTCCGCGCTTCACTCGGAAGGGGGGGGGGGGGCAAATGAATTCAGACAAGGATTAAGAGTCGAGAATGGTACAACGAATTCTCGATCTTCTTCTCTAATAATTTAATGAAACATCAAAGCTTCCACGCTTCGCGCGGGAGGGCGGAAACTTAATTCATCAGACAAGGATTAAGAGTCGAGAATGGAACAACGAATCTTCTTTCTCTAATAATTAATGAAAGGTCAAAGCTTCCGCGCTTTGCGCGGGAGGGGAGAAACTGAATTCAGAGTAGGATTAGGAGTCGAGAATTGAACAACGAACCATCTTCTTTCTCTAATAATTTTTATTAAACTATGAAAGTTCAAAGCTTCCACGCTTCGCGCGGGAGGGGAGAAACTGAATTCAGAGAAGGATTAAGAGTCGAGAATGGAACAACAAATCTCCTTCTTTCTCCAATAATAAATGAAAGGTCAAAGCTTCCGCGCTTTGTGCGGGAGGGGGGAGAAACTGAATTCAGAGAAGGATTAAGAGTCGACAATGGTACAACGAATCCTCTTCTTTCTCTAATAATTAAATGAAAGTTCAAAGCTTCTGCGCTTCGCGCGTAATGGGGGGGGGGGGGGGGGGGGCAGCGAGCTGCCTGAATATAAATTTTGATATCTTTTCTCGTTTATTTTGGTGATAAATAACACTTTCACAAAATACATATTATGCTTACATTTTTGCTCGCTCGCTTCGCTCACTAGCCATTAATTGTAAAACCACTGAAAAAAAACGTTTTCGAGCAAGAGGCTATACTGGTTGTGTCTACACGGAAGTTAGATGGTGTTGTTTGGCCTTAAATTCTAAGTTTAGCAAGAATAGTGTGATAGAAGAAGGGTTGGTTGGAAGAACAGTTAAAGAAGGATGAAGGGAAGGAAGAAGACAGAGGTAGCCCTCCTGAACTGGTTGTGTCTACACGGAAGTTAGGCTATAGAGATGGTGTTGTTGGGTCTAAAATTCTAAGTTTAGCAAAAAATAGTGTGATAGAAGAAGGGTTGGTTGGAAGAACAGTTAAATAAGGATGGAGGGAACAAGGAAGACAGAGGATCGAAGCCCTCCTGAACCAAAAGACATTAATGCTAAGACAGGGATTTGAACCCCGCACCTTGTGGTTCACAGTCCAGTGACTCATTCATTGGACTTCAACACCTCTACAACCCTTTTAACACTGGCATAGATTTATTCTTGCACTAGAAACGGTTAAATAATCTTGCAGCCCGTGGAATGTCTATCCCACAATAAATTCAATGTGGCAAATGTAGTGCATGTAAAGAGTTAATAATATTGGCACCAGCGTTTATAGATTTGTGAATTGATGCGTGATGATAATTCCTACAAAATTGGTTTGTTTCTTTCAGTGATGGATTGATGGAGGTGACATAGACCAACTCATAAAGGTCTCCTACTCCTACACACCAGAGAACAAGAATGCCACACTCTCAGAAGACAACTGGTATGAAACTATTCTTTTTCAGTTTTAATGAGAGAAAAGGGTTGTTGTAATCAAATTCTTGAATATCTAGGACTCCTAACTGGCTTAAAGGGATAGTTGAGTTTTGTTGCAGAGGGCGCAACACAAAATGATTTATTTGTGAGATAATGAAAAACTGAGTGTCAAATTTGAAAGAACAAACAATATAAATGACATAATCAGAATAAACGAAAATTTGAACCAGCCGTTGAAAAAACGAGATAGCACCATACATTTTATACAAGCAAATGCCGACGTTGGCGTATTTGTGTTGGTTATTATACGCTCAAACGGCTCAACCAGTCAGTCGTGTATTGTTATTATTAATTAATTGATTAATTAATTAACGGTCACCATATTTTTTTGGAAAGTGGCTGGAGATGAATCGGTATGATCGTATTGGCTAAATTTCACACATTTTGGGGTCTAAAAGTTACCTTCATAGCAATTTAAGTTCCTAAAAGAGCACTAGAAATATCATAAAGAATAAGAGCAATAACCATGCACTTTGGATGCATTTGCGGTCTAAAACAAGAACTCAACTATCCGTTTAAGGGTAAACAAACATTTTGACTTCCATCAATTTTTCAATTAAAAGTCTTAACAAAGTGGTGATACAAACGTAGTAAGAAAGGGTCCACCTGGGTCGTAATGTAAATAAGCGTGGATCTTACTACTATAAACAAACTAGACTCAAAATAATTTGAGAATGTCCCCCCCCCCCCCCCCTTCACTTCATCACCAAAAGTTAATATCAATTGATTTTTTGTTGTTGCTTTCTCTTTTTAATTAAGGTTGTTTCATTAAGTAAAACAAAAGTTGTATGAAGTCTCATAGTGGGAGTGTCGTGGTCGGGTGGTTTAAGGCGCTTGACTCGAGGGTTCGAGTCCCGACACGGCACTAATATCCTTTGGCAAGATATTTACCTGCATTTGCTACTCTCCACCCAGGTGTTAAATGGGTACCCGGTAGGATGCGAACGTTCATGTGTTTGGACGAGCAAGTGTGCGCTTGTAAAATGGCGACTGGCTGGAATGCTCCCCAGGGAGTGGAAAATGTGCACACATTGTGTGCGGGTAAGCCTGAATCCGATGACCGGGGTAATATATCTGTAAAGCGCTTAGGCACATCGTTGGATCGGTGTATTGAGCGCTATATAAAAAAACGGATTATTATTATTATTATTATTATTATTATGATTTTTATTATTATTATTATTATAACAATAAAATAATGTATACACATGCATAACATGAGTTGTTTGTTACTCCAGTAGTGGAGCTGTATTTTCTTCTCTTTACTAGAATTACTATTTTGTTATCTTTATTTTTGCAGATGCATATTAGCTAGGACCTATCACCACCTGGTGGTGGGATGGAGAAAGTTGCAATCTCCGAGTAAGTTTCTCATAGTTGTTTAAAAACTAATGTAGTCTGGATTTCAAGATTGTTGTTTTACCACAGTGCTCTTGACTGCTAAGATGCATTAGTCTAACCATGACCAAGATCGTGATTTATTTTATTTTAATGATTTGCTTCAAACAAAAGTTAGATTTCTATTAGCACCATCAAAGAAAATCCTCATTTCTTCAGCTTCAGGATGGGTGTGTGTTTGGGGAGGGGAGAGCGCTAAGGCCGGGGGAGGGGGGGGGGGGGGGGATCTGCACGCCTACTTGAAATAAAGAAACAAAATCTTTTCTTAGTATCACTCCAACCAGAAGTGGATCTGTTACAATCAATTCAACACTAATTTCATATTTTCGTCATCAGTTTCCCTCAATAATATAATTAGTACAATTATGTTGTGGCAAAACGTACACATGGCACAGTTTCACAGAAGTGCATACACAGAACTGAATGAATATCTATACTAGGGTATTCTTGTTTGTTGTGTATTGGTATTGATGCAATTAACCCATTGCTTACGGGAACCTGGTGGTCCCTGTGTAAAGCCTATGGGAATAAGATAATTCAGTAGTCAACGGGTTAAGATTGACAAACCTCTTCTTGTTATTTGAGTACAGCATGAGACTTCTTTCAAGGAGGACATAAAAGAGAACTTCATGGTATACAGTCTAGAACCAATCCTCTTTTTCTTACACACTGATCGAATCACTAGACGCGTCATCATCATCTCGAGATTGCCAAATAGACCGCTATTTCTGATTTGGGAAATAATCCCGAAGTTACAAATCGCGTTTTCATCAGCTCGAGATTCAACCTCGAAACTTGAAACTCGACCTTGAGAAATTAGCTGGAGGTATTTTGCTCAGCGTTAGCGCACTTGTGCGAGTCTTCGGTCTAGTGAAAACGTACAGGACAAATAGCTGGATATTTTGCCAAATAGTGGGATATTTTGCAAACTATCCCAATTAAATATCTTGGGATGACGATCCCGACCAAATATCCCGCTAATTGCTACTTCGGTCTGATGAAGACGCAAATTAGCTAGATAGCTTGCGATCGGGATAGTTCAAATAGCTGGATATTTGGCAATCTCGAGATAGTGATTGAAGCCTACTTAGTAATCTGCCTCAGGGCTTCAGGACAGGCTGCATCCAAGGTAAGTTTGCTTGTTAATTGGGACGAACCCCATCTCCAAACACGCCAAAAAAATGCCAAACCGGAGCCTGACCGCGACGTTACGAAGGGCAACTACGCTTTACCGGCAGAAATGCCAAGCCCGAAACATTTCAAAACGAAGTGTGATCTTTTGGCGTGTTTTGGCGTGTTTGGCAAGTATAAACGCTCGCAGTTGTAACATCGCGATGTTAGGTCACGTGACTTTAGGAGCGGGCTAGATGTCGTCCTTGAAGAAAATGATAGAACGATAAATACAAAGAATAACATAAGAGAAGGTGATAGAAGGAAAAAACAAAGAATAACATAAGCAAAGACAGAAAGAGAAAGTGATAGAAGAAACAAAGAAAAGACATAAAGAGAAAGTGATATAAGGAAGAAACAAAGAATAACATAAGGAAATTAAGACAGAAAGAGAAAGTGATAGAAGGAAGAAATAAAGAATAACATAAGGAAAGACAAAAAGAGAAGGTGATAGAAGAAAGAAACAAAGAAAAACATAAGGAAAGACAGAAAGAGAAAGTGATAGAAGGAAGAAATAGAGAATAACATAAAGTTTGCTATTCCCCGTGTTAAAACCTTTTGGACTGATACTTGTTCCCGTGATCAATTAAATGACCAAGCAGGTCAACGAGCTCCCATTCGACCTCCTCTAGCTTCTAATGGGCGTTGTCATTCACATGTTGGAATCTGGAATGCCCGTTCCATGTCAAACAAGACTACATGCATATGTGATATGATACTAGACAATGATCTGGACGTCTTAGTCCTGACAGAATCCTGGCTAACAGGTAACCAGGGAGATGACCTAGTAATTGGTGATATTAAGTCAACACTTCCGAATTATGATCTGTTGCACTGTCCTCGCATTGGATCCAAAGGTGGTGGGATCTGCATTGTGTATCGCTCTTCGGCCCAGGTGACCTTGAACAGTAGGATTGAATTTACATCTTTTGAACTTATGGATGTTACTATCCGGTTCTCCGCGGTATCAGTTTTCAGATGTTATGCAGTATACAGACCTCCGCCTTCGGCAAGCAACAAGTTTACCTACAACATGTTCCTGCAGGAGTTTCTCACTCTTCTTGAGTCTGCGGTAATTTCAGACAACATGCCCCTCGTTCTGGGTGATTTTAACATCCACATTGACGATGGGCTCGACACTCAGGCTAAGTCCTTCATGAACTCCATCGATTCACTGGGCTTCTCTCAACACGTAAACGGGCCGACCCATCGGGCCGGCCACACGTTGGACCTGATCATGTCGAGAAGAATAGATGACATTATTTCATCGGTCCGCATTCTGTCCGGGCTCTCGTCTGATCATTCAGCAATCATCGCTGACGTCAACCTTACCGCTCCCAAGAACACAAAGAAACTTGTGCAGTACAGGCAATTTCGGAATGTTGACATTGCATTTTTTAAACAAGATATTCTGAATTCTTCCCAGGCTACGTCAACGCCAGAGCATTCTTCTGAAGCAGTTGGTGGGTACAACGATAACCTGATCCAGCTAATCGACAGACATGCCCCGTTGAAGAGAAAGAATATCACAGTTCGACCATCTGCTCCCTGGTACACGGAGGAGTTGAGAGAGGCCAAGAGAATCAGGCGTCAAGCAGAACGACAGATGTTGAGCTCTGGCCTTTCGTTCGACAAACAACAGTACCAGGAAAAGTGTTTGTCTTATTACACTGCTCTCTACGAAGCCAAATCCAAGCATTTGACTGCTAAGATTGCTGAAGCTGACACCAAAGAGCTTTTTCGCATTGTCAAGAGACTTACTTCTCCTTCCAGTCAGGAAACCATCCTTCCTGAACACCGGACTGCTGTTGCATTGGCCAATACTTTTGGAGACTACTTCAATGATAAGATCGCCAGTACCGTGTCCGGAGTTCAGACCTCTGCTGCAAACCCACAGTTTATGTCTGGTGCAAATCGAGTGCCTGACTTGGGGCCAGACAAATGTCTTTCAGAGTTTACACCTGTTCCCCTAAATCAAGTGAAGAAACTCATTGACTCGCTCAAGCCTAAATCATGCAGCTTGGACCCGGTGCCATCGTGGCTCGTAAAGACTTGCGTTGACGAACTTTTGCCGATCATCACATCGACAATCAACCTCTCCCTCATGTCTGGTGAAGTCCCCGAAGCATTTAAGACCTGCCTCATCACACCTCTCTTAAAGATCGAAGCCATCGCCCGACAGGAATGACTTTAAGAACTATAGACCAATCGCCAACCTACCCTTCCTTAACAAGGTGTTGGAGAGGTTCGTATCCATTCAGCTCAGGTCTTATCTGGAGTCCAACGACTTATTCCCAGCGAACCAGTCGGCGTACCGGCATCATCACTCAACAGAGACAGCCTTGTTAAAGGTTGCCAACGACCTTCTGTTAGCAGCTGACAACGGACTTGAAGCCTGTCTAGTCCTTTTAGACTTTTCATCTGCATTTGATTGCCTGGACCACGCGACTCTCTTCAATCGGCTCGAAACCTGCTACGGTATAAAGGGATCTGCTCTGGAGTGGATAAAGTCATGTCTTAGTGGTCGTTTCCAGAGAGTAACTGTAAGGGGGTCACTGTCACAATCCTTTTCTCTCCGTTGGGGAGTGCCTCAGGGGTCGGTAGTGGGCCCCTGTTATTTACCCTCTATACTGGTCCTCTTTGCCATGTAATCAGTTCGCACCATGGTATCCAGCACGCTATGTACGCAGATGATACCCAGCTTTACCTCGTTATGAGAGCTGACAGAAGAGATGCCATTAGTAGACTTTCAGATTGCCTACGTGATGTCAAGACATGGTCCTCAACCAACATCTTGAAACTGAATGAAGCGAAGACGGAAATGCTGCATATTTCTTCTAGGTTCAGGCAGCAGTCTGGTGATTTTCCCCCTCTGGATCATTCTGGAGTTTGTGTGCAGAAGTCGGAGTGTATACGAGATCTTGGTGTAACCTTCGACAAGCACCTCTCCCTTGCTCAACATATACGCAACAAGTGTAGGACAGCTTCTTGGGGAATAGCCAGGATTGGCAGAATCCGAAAGTATCTCAACAATCCTGCTACGGAAAAACTTATCCATGCATTCGTTTCATCTCACCTCGATTATTGTAATAGCCTTCTAGCCGGTCTACCTCAATCCCACATTGCACCCCTTCAACGCATGCAGAATACTGCCGCTAGACTATAGTCACACGTACCAGGAAATCTGAACACATTACCCCAATCATTCAGTCTCTTCACTGGCTACCGATACAGAAACGCATTGTCTTTAAAATCCTCCTCCTTGTCTACAAAGCTATCCACAACCAAGCCCCCTCATACCTACAGAACCTCATCTCACTCCGATCCTCATTAGCTTCCTCTGCATCTCGACGTTTACGCTCCCATGCTACTGCCCACCTTCAACTGCTACCTGGACCTCGCACCAAGACACGCTACGGAGACCGCTCATTTACAGTTATTGCCCCCAAGTTATGGAATAATCTCCCCATTTATATATGAGAAGCCCCTACATTAGAATCATTTAAGTCTCTCTTGAAAACCTACCTCTTTCCATAACTGTGATTACCCTTCCTCTCCCCAAGTTATTTATTTTAAGCGTAATTAATATTACCTTGCAGTTTAATGATATTGTCATTTCTATTGCATAATGTTGTATTTAAGATTTAAGATGCATAATTATTATATTGAATTTAATAATTTGCATTTGAGTTTAAGTTGTATTTGAATATTTCACATGGTTTATGATAATTCTGATTCCATATCTGGTTCATTTATAATTTCAATCAATTTTGATGCAGTCCTTATTTTGCAGTTTAATGATATTGTAATTTATATTGCATAATGTTGTATGATATATATTTTAAGATGCATAATTGTTACATTGAATGAATATAATAGTTTGTATTTAAGTTGTATTTTAATATTTCATATGGTTTATTATAATTCTGAGTCCATATCTGGTTTATTTATATATTCAAATCAATTTCGATGCGGTCCTCATTTTGTGTAATGTCACATTCTTCTTTGCCATTTACTTGTAATTCAATGTTTTTAACATGTTCCTTTAGTATTTCTCACTTTTCCTTCCTTATCCTTCCTTCTTTCTCTTGCGCTTAGAAATTGTATTAAGCGCATTATAAATGTAATGTATTATTATTATTATTATTATTACAACATAAGGAAAGACAGAAAGAGAAAGTGATAGAATGATAAAAACAAGGAATAACATAAGAGAAGGTAAAAGAAGGAAGAAACAAAGAATAACATAAAAGAAAGTGATAGAATGATTACAAAAAAATAAATGACTTAAGAGAAGGTGATAGAAGGAAGAAACAAAGAATAACATAAGGAAAGACTAAAAGAGAAAGTGATAGAATGATACAAACAAAGAATAACATAAGAGAAGGTGATGAAAAGAAAAAAACAAAGAATAACATATGGAAAGACAGAAAGAAAAAAATGATAAAGAATATAATAATAATAATAATAATTATAATAATAATAATAATAATAATAATAATAATAATAGTGTTTGCATCGGAGTGCCGCGCATGCGCATTACCAACTGAAACACGCCAAAACATCACTGAGCTTTTCAGTCGGTGAAGTTTCAGCACAAGTGTAAACGGGTGCGCGAAACATAGTGATTTTAGGAAATGAGGTATTTGACAGTATATATAAATGCGCCTTCTCTCTCTCTCTCTCTTTCTATTTATCTCTCTCTCTCTGTCTTTCTATTTCTCTCTTTCTCTTTCTGTCTCTCTCTCTCTCCTTTTCTATCTATCTCTCTGTCTATCTCTCTCTCACACTGTCTTTCTCTCTCTCTCTCTCTCTCACACACACACACTCTCTTAATCTTCCTTTTTGTTTGTTAAACAACAATGATCTTGATCTTGATAATGACGATGATGATGTAATACTGATGCTGAGCGTAAGCGTGAGAACTGTGAAAAATGGATGGTTATTATTATTTTGAGGGTCAATTAAGAGATTTTCTGAAATATCAGAGGCTGGAATATTAATAAATAGAGGTGTATTCATGTTTTGAAAGGCTATGTTAGTGGCCCTTTAAGTAGGTCATATTTGTCTTTTTCCAGAAACAAAGGAAGAGTGAGTGAATGAAAACTAATGTAATTGGAGCATTAATTTAGAAACTAATTTTGATATTCATGTATGTATACTGTCCAATAGAAGATTAATGTTCATTTAAAGTAGAAAAGAAGATATTGAGTAAATATGTATATCAATTATACTACTAGGATATACATATTAAAGTCTTTTCTCTGGATGGACTGAATCAAGTGTGTGTGATCATGTTCATACTTTACCCACTGTGTACTCGTCATGACATATAGGTGGACTCTTTGATAACAAGGTTTGAGGTAAAAAATTAGTTGAAACTAAGGTTTTCTAAAAATCATGAGTTTGATACAAAACAAAACTGACGAATGACAATAAGATTCGTCCCTTTATGGTCTCATTTATTTTGTTCTGGCTTATATCACTCTCTTTGATAAAAGTTGCCATTTTCAATAAAGATAATTATTATTAGTAGTAGTAGTAATCAATCAGAAAAAATATAAAATTGGTCACCATTAATAATTCAGATTTTCTAATAACTGCTGTCGGCAGAGATTACATTTTTGATTAAAATTATATAATGATAATAATGATAATAAATTTATTATTTTCATCAGACACAAAGCGCATAAACAAAAACACAATTACAAAAAGAGACAACATTATCATACGAAGCTTACATTAAAGGGACTTGGTAACATTGTTCAGATGAGAGATAGTGGTGTTAAGGTAGTGACTTCAATGCTAGATGTACAGTTAAAGATAATCTGAAAATTTGAGTGAAAACAGACATTATTCATGGTACAAATTGGGAAAAACTGATCTGATCGATTCCTTAATTCTCCCAACTATATTATTACAATTTAATTACATTTAGGTGAATGAAAATCTCACAAAGCAATAAAATGGCTCTACATTCCATTCCAGACATTTAAGTGTCTTTTTATAGCCTGTTTTATGTCTTTTTTTCATGGAAAAACGGTTGGGAAAATTCAAAAATGGTTGGGAGAATTAAAAAATGGTTGGGAGATTTTTTTTGCATGAGGGTTAGTACGTACAGAAGAAGGAATATAGTAAGTAACATTTTATACAAAAATTGAAGTAATTTTTTTTTCATCAACCTTCAACAATGTTACCAAGTCACTTTAATTCAAACCGAGAGGATTTTTTTTTAAAAGGTACTATGTCCCTTTTGCAGCCAACATCATATTCTGTAGAACTTTGCAGGAATTATGAATATGTCATGTTTGTCCTATCTGTGTAGTTTAAACATCAGCAGTGTCTTAGTATTCAAATTATGCAAGGAAATTCGTTTACCTTCTAGACTTCACAGTCAGACACTATTGAGTGACTGACTGACATATTTTTTCTTTGGTAATAACTTACATAAAATGAGCTGTAACAGGTACATGAACATTTGTCTACATCTAGAAACCACTACTTGTAATGGCCAAAAATTAAATTACTGATTTAATCTTTGTGCAGCACAAAATGTACGACCGATGGGTAAAAGGGTCTGAAAATCAGACTATTACTTAGGAGATTGCAATCACTGAAGTCGATTGACAATTAATGGTTGTTATTTCCCTACTAGAAGCCATTTTCTAGCCCTTTCCTCTTCGGGGAAGTTCTAGATTAGTACTGTCTTTCAAATGCCATTGGAATTTAACCTACCGGTATTCATTTTTGGCCTGCAAATGGGACATTATAGTAGCTTTAAGGTCTTATGTATAATACGATTATTAAAGGTAATACAAAGTTTTGGGAAATTTTGAAAATTGGGTGGATAGTAATTCTTTACAATTTTGATATATTTGGATAACCATGTGGATGTCTTATAAAAACTAGAAAATTTAGCTCCTAAAACACTTCTGCTTTCAAGAAAAATTTAATATAAAAATTTATCGGTGCTCCCAGTAAATTTTGATAAATTCCAAATAGCGCCTACGTACGGCTGTACAATGGTAGCGGAACCATGAAAATCTCAGAATATGTAGTTGAGATATATAATTTCCAAACGAGAATAGCAAATCTGTCGATTTTAGTCAAGAAACATTGTTTTTTAGCTTAGGTAATATCTTGACCTTGAGAGGGAGCTATACAACAACAAGAGTTATCATTTACAATTTAGTAACTTTAGACTCGATTTCAACCGCGACAACGAGCACTGAATATTGTAGGATCGCATGTATGCTTCCAATATGTTCGTTTGAACGAAATTCATGATCCCATACCAAAACTTTGTATTACCTTTAACGCGTATATAGCCAGTGAAGATCGTGGTAAGAGGGAAGACGTGGACAATTTTTTGTTTACCAGGAGTGAGCCATGCTGCTTTATTTTGGAGGCTCTGAAGGGAGTTGAGACCATAATGCGATATACCATAGAGTAGCGATTACAATAATCTACACGAGCCAAAACAAGAGATTTTACAACTGCATGAGAAGAATCTTTATGAACTTCCTTATTCTACTAAGGTTACCGGTACGTAAGTAGAAATTAACAGATTTTGATACTTTGAAACATGATTTGACATATGCTTGTCAAAGGTAACACCTAATATGCAAACAGATAAAGGTAAAATGATATGTTTAACCCTAAAAACCCTTAAAAAAAAGAAATACATAACAAATTATCAAAACAACAGATAGCATTTGGATTAACCTGGCTCTTCCAATTTGTTTTTGGTATTATTATAATGGTCTAAAGAATATATGTATTGAAAACTAATGTTTAAATATGAAGAATATATGATTCATGGTTACAATGTGAATTGTATTACCTTAGTTACATAAATTAACCTAAATGTGCAAATTTTTCGCCACCACCACCAAAATATTAAAGTTAAACAAACAAAGAAATACATAACAAATTATCCAAACAACAGATAGCATTTGGATTAACCTGGCTCTTCCAATTTGTTTTTGGTATTATTTTAATGGTCTAAAGAATATATGTATTGAAAACTTATGTTTAAATATGAAGAATATATGATTTATGGTTACAATGTGAATTGTATTACCTTAGTTACATAAATTACCCTAAATATGCAAATTACCTAGTGGCACGGGTTTGAAACCAAGTCGATGCGCTAGTGCCCTTTGGTAAGGCATTAATCCTTAATGGTTTCTTAGCAGTAAGGTAACATAACCACCACCACCACCACCAAAATATATTTAAGTTAAACAAACATTGAAGAATATATGTATTGAAAACTAGTGTTTAAATATGAAGAATATATGATTTATGGTTACAATGTGAATTGTATTACCTTAGTTACATAAATTAACCTAAATATCCAAATTTTTCGGGGCGATGGGGGGGGGGGGGGCTTAAAAGCCCCCCCCCCCCCTCCCCCCAGGCTATGCAATTTCAAAATAGCTCAGGCTATAAAGGGTTTAGATGGGACATGCTGTAACTGTTGATGGTACTTTTGAGATGCCGCAATCATGAATTCTGTCTTGTCCTGATTAAGGTTCAGTGTATTAGCCAACATCCATAACTGAACATCAGACATACACTGTTGTAGTTCGCGCAGTGTATTGTTGATGCTTAGGGGAACGTTTGGATGACATGCGCAGTATGTCTGGATGTTGTCGGCATAAATATGGTTTGGGACATAGTATTTCTGTATTAAGATATCTACCACTAACTGAAGGTACATGTTAAAACACTGAGGGCCGATTACAGACCCTTAGGGACGTTATATTCTAGACAAAGTTGTGTTATTGGATTATATTTTATTGACAGTTTATATGAAAAAATTAATGATAGCGAGTGTCCCTCTTTTTTTTCTTTTGCTGATTGTAGTAAGGGGCCCTATTTGGACAACTTTGTGGGATGTACTGTTTCGATATCAAATCAATTATCGATAGAGTAAGAGAGCATTTTCTATTCTATGGCCCTTTTTCTAAATCCCTTCCATGGATTCGATTGGGACTTGCTGGTAGCTGATATCAGGTTTGAAACGAGCAAGCTTGACCACACCCATCAGGATTGCCATAGCAACCAATGTTGCTATCATTCCAAGGAGGAGCATCGCAAAAGGGTTGAAGGAAGCCAAATCTGTGGTCACTGGAAAAGATAAAATATGGTAAAACAATTGGATGTGGATTAGATATTTTCACATGCGTATCCATGGGAACAGGGAATAACCCTCCTCCTCACCACCCCTCCTCCCGTCCCATCCACCTTTTAGTAGAAAATTTAAGTGAGGAGATATTCCAATACTTATTTTTGTCCTGTAAAGGATTATCAGAAGTGATAACTTATTGTGCATCTTATGAGGAAAATGTTACTTTTTCAGGTTTTTAAGTGGTTGTTGTTACAAAATAGTTCTTACCATTAGTAGCCATATCGCTGGTTGAGCGACGGATGCGAATCGGACCATTACTGATGGTCTGAGTGGACATAACGGACGAAGATCGACGTTTGCGGGATGTAGTTGGAGGTTCAATGTCTGCGGGGCATTCTGCGTCTCGAAGCAATTGAGCTTCCACAGCACCACAGACCTTCACTGAACAGTGAATGTACACCTGAGAAAAATATATGATGCATGCATGCATTACAATACATTATTTTAATACTTTCTAAACATCCAAACAAACGTGCTTTTAAAGTTTCCGTAATTGTTATAAGGGATGTCCAACCTAAAATTTAAGTTGGTTGTGAGGTCCCCTTCCTTTTGCCATGTACTAAAAATGTAAAAAATATGAATTTATGTTCCGAAATTTTCAACCATTTATTCCTCCTAAATAGGATTATTGCAAATATGTTCTTTATACAAAACCTATATGAAACACATCTATTACGTCACCAATAACTAAGAAAATGAAAGTTTATGAAATTCTATGTATAGAGCAAAATGGAGAGGAGTTCGCAAGGTACCTCACAGTGTTGAAAATTTGTGTTTCACTGAAGACAACTTCAATTTGTTATAACTTTCCTATTTTTAACCGGATATTGCTGAAATTTTCACTTATTTGTTACTCTCATTTTTCTGCTGTTATTAAAACCAACTTAATAGCAGGGTGTACTTCAAGGTAGGCAATTATAATCAAAGAAAAAAAAAGGCTTAAAAAAAGTCTAAAATTTGTGTATGTTATACCATAAAGCTCAGTGAAAGTGTACGACAACTCGGTTGCACACAGTTGCCATTCATTTACACGTACATGTAGGTAATTACTGAACCCAAAGACACAGGGCAGATATCACTCAACTAAGACAGAGATTCTACTTTTTATTTTTCTTGTAAAATACTCATGAAATTGGCAAACAAAATTGTAATAAAATCAGGTGTATAAGTTCATGCCATGTAAATAATTTACCTCGGTGTAATCCCCAACAAAGGCAAATGCCTTAAAGGAAAAGCGTTCTTCATTCAATTCAATGAGAGGATAGACTTTAACTGTGTATTCATCTGGGCAACTGTAGAATCAATTGATAGCGATGTACTTGAGTTAGGAGGCCGAGTCATAGCCGTGGGAGAACGGCTAGTAGGGAATCATATAATATTGTTTAAGAATAAGAATATTGATAGTAGTAATAATAATGATAATAATAATAATAATAATAACAATAGTAATAATAATAATAACAATAATACTTATAAAATAATGATAACAACAACACAAATTTTTAAAAATTGTACTATGATCTACAACAACGATTAATCTTTGTACTACTTCTACTGCTTCTTTCATTTTGTTTATCCATAGAAAGCCTGGCTTATATTTGTTCCATCGTTGTTTTTTTTTCGTCTTCGGGTTACACAAACTTTCGTGAAAAATCCAGGGGGGTGTTTCATAAAGCTGTTCGTAAAGTTACGCATGCATTTACGAATGACTTAAATATGAAAAGCCAAATGGGATGCTAAATCATTTTTAACTGCATCAACTAAAGTTGAACTGTGCAGATGTAGATTAACATTCTTATTATAACAATCATTTTTATTGCAAAGTAGATTTTTTGCCATAATTTAATTGAGGTTTTTGGAAATATAGTTGCATTTTGTTAAAACATCAGGATAATTTGTGGGCATCCTATCTGGCACTTCAGATTCATGTTTAATCGTTTAATCCAACAACATGAAGCACACGACCTTTCGTGATTATGAGGTTATTTTCACGAATGTTTGTGGAACCTGACGTGAACACACAATGGAACGAAGTAAGTCGAGAAGCCTCATCAGCATCAATGCCGATCTTCCTGAGGGCCTTCAAATAAGTATTAACCCAGCAGTAAACCAATTACCCATTAAAACCCGAGTGGCAAATGTGGAGTAATATCTTGCCAAAAGACCTACATGCCGGCCTTGGATCGGGACCTCAACCCTTGGTATAAGAGTCAAGTGAATGAACCACTTTATCATCACTACATGATTTATTTCACGAGGCTCATGAATAGTTCTACTAACCCTTGAGCAATTAGAGAGTGTTGACCAGCAGAATCCATGTCTTGAGTGGTTGTCGCCCAGCAGCGATCAATAAACATACCAATTAGACCTGATACTGACTCAAGAGTCACAGCAAAGTAGAGGTCATCTCCTTGCAAGACAGTGGTGGCGTCCGAATTCAGCTCAACAAAAGCATTTGTCAGGAATCTTTGCAGGCTCAGACTGAAGTCACCAGAGCCCTTGTCGCTGAAGGACACCTCACCAAGCTGTGGTCTGAAGGATCCACTGATGATTGCCTCTTTCTCGAGGCAACATGCAACCTTAACCTGCATGTGATATTCACGGGTAATTACAGTATCGTCGTCCGAGCCAGGCTTGGCGTAAGTGATAACATTGACGAAGGTAATTGTTGTGTTATCCTCCTATAATGACACCAAGTAATATAAAATAAAATAATGTTTCGAAAACAAAAATGAAATCCAGTATCGCGGTATATTTTGTTGTTATCACTAGTGTTCGGGGGGGGGGGGGCCTTTGGCGGTTGAAGCCCCTCTCACGCCCCCCCCCCCCCAACCAAAAAGCAAGAAAAGGAAGGAAAGACGAATGCTCTTTAGAAACCATATGATAAAGTGATGAAAATTGAAAGTCACGCATTCTCCTTCAAGACATAGTAGGCAGTTTTGTTGAAGAAAAGTGTCTTAGCACCCACCGTGTGAAAACGTTTGAGGCACAGTGGCTCAGATTCCTAAAAAAAAAAAATCTATTTTGTTGACTTCTCTGCACCTAAAATTTGTTTTGTTGATTGATTTAATGTCAAGTGCTATTCTAGCGTAATAAGATGTTAAATAACATTTTATTACCGTGTTATGATATTTCTTAAGTTTACAAAGAAGAAAAGATACAGAAGCGTCAACAATACGGCGGAATCGGATGCAGAGTAAGAAAGATTCCGGGATCTCTTCTATCGGAACTTAAAAGAATAACAAATATATTGTTATTTGGAATGAAAGTAAACAGATTCTATTTAATCCAGCATGTCATGCCTGTCACATCAAACTTCAAAGCTCTGCCCCTGGACCACGCAGTTTGGGGCTGCGCTCTACGTACTGGAACCCAAAACATTATGTTTAAACCCCCTCTTTACAAATCCTGCACACGCCCATGGTATTGGTAGCCATGGCAAGTACAGGAGTGATTCGTACCAGTTATCATTTAAGGAATCCTACCTCAATGATGGTGCCACATTGATTGTATTCTGTAGTGAGAGTGATCTCATTAGTGCTATCGTTCTTTACACCGGAGCAGGATCGGTCTTTAAAATGAACAGCAGATGCTTCACCTGGGACTAGCCGTTCATCTATGTTGACGGTCATTGAAGTACTTCCACACTCAACAAATGTCACTGGTATAAGAGAATTGTCAAGAGCAAAGAAAATGTCAATAACGCCACCCTTTTCATAATTATCTCTCAGGTGTCAGAAGCGAAATTTGACGTAATTGATTAGGGTGTGTGTGTGGGTGAGGGTGTGCGTGTGTGTTCATGAAGACGGATTGTTTAAGCATCCGGGAATGTGGTTAAAGAAATTAAGATTTTTGGAGTGTATTTTGTTTTAGACGCCGTTGAATTATAAGGAGATTTTAAGCAATCTTAAAAGACTTCTCAGATGGTGGAAACAGAAGGAACTCACGGTGTTTAGAAAAAATCATTTATTTAAAACATATAAATCAAATTACGTTTTTAGCTTCACTAGTGGTTCCAAAATGGGTCATATTGGAAATACAGAAAGAATGTTTTACATTTATTTGGAATAGGAAAGATCAAATTAAGAGATTAATATCATTGTATTAATGTTATAATGAAGTGAGGTTACGAATGACTAATTTTGACTCGTTTTTAAAAACCCAACGTGTAATGTGGGTAGAAAGACTATTGTACGGAGAAAAGCAATGAGATGGAAGCTATACTTTGATTTCTGCTTCAAGATGGTAGGAGGTAGATTTATTTTCTTGTGTAACTACCTGAATTCTTTTTAGACAAGATAAAAGCATGGGAAGAGTTACAAGGTTGTAGGAATGTTTCTCAACAACAACGATTTATTTTTTTAAAAAGAAAATGATCTTTGATGAGGAGTTGTTTACATGCCATATAATATCAGTTCAAGATATTTCTGCTGAAAATGGCATGTGGTCAATATCTAATTTTCAACATTTAGGGTTAAAATGAAACAAAATTGTTGATGTATGGACTATTGGGGAAGCTATTTTGAGAAGCGGAAAAAAGGATAACTGGAGTTGAGTGGATGTAAAAGCAGTGCAATGCAGTTTAACAGTAATGTGAAGTTCCTCAGAGATTTAATATTGAGGAAGGTTTATGAATACTTAATAGAGAAGTTAGACAATTCCATTATTCTGTCGCTCCAATTTTGAGGAGGCTAGGAACAGTGTGTGGTATATGTGCAGAAGTATGGTCGGTCGGGTGGGGTGTGTGTGTGTGGGTGTTGCATGGTGGGGGGGGGGGGGTAGTAGTAATAATAATAATAATAATAATAATGTAACTTATATCGCGCCAAATCCACTCTGTGAATGAGGGTGTTGAGAGTATGTTTAACATAGTATTCTTGATCATATATATGAAAATGTTTTCTAAACAGTTCTTTTTATTATTGCAATTTAGCTTTCATCCAATGTACAATGTATCCAGTTTTGTTAAGAATGATTTGTACAATATGTATTTGATTTGAGAGAAGATAATACAAAATGTCCTTTTTTTAATTTGAGGGTGTTCTTGTGTGTGAGTGTATGTTATTGTGGAGTGTACACGTCTGTTAGTGTGCATCTGTATTGCAGATATGGTGGTTTTGTTTTGGGAAGGTAATTAGGGAGGGAGTTTTAATGTGTGTTATATTATAACTGATTTCATTCATTATTTTTATCAAAATTTATGAATTGTACATGTATTAAATTATTTTTGTTATGTGATTATGATGAGGAAACAAATTGTCTTTTTGTATGATTATTAGTATTGTTTTGATATTGAATGAAACCGAAATAAAAAATTGCGATTTTTATTTTTGATTTTTTTTAAATATTTATTTATTTTTTATTTTATTTTATTCTTTATAATCCTGGCTAAATCATGAACAGGTATTCGTCCAACACAAGAAAAATATTCAAGAAACTTACGTTTATCTTGACAAAAATCGCCACCGAATCCTGCTGGACATGTGCAATTGCCTTGCTCACAGCTCTCTCCATTGAGACAACGGTTATCACATCCATCTGAAAATATTTAGAGACAACAGTTGCTTTATTAAATGATGTGGCTCCAGAAAGTACGAAGGTAAAGAGCTAATTGTAAAACAATTTTGTTGTCACTTACGAGTTCGAGTTAGATTTGCTGTCGTTTTTGCTACTTTTCATTTCTGTTGTTAAGATATCAATGTGGGCATGCGTGCATGCCCACATTGATATCTTAACAATAATGGCAAGTGTTCTTAAAGAAAAGCTTGAGTTCTGGCAATGGTAGGAAAAAAATTCTCACAGAATCCCAAAAAACAAAAACACTGAATGTCAATGAATACATATAGATGATGACTTATGCCAAACGATTTTGGTAGAGAATATAAAGGGGCTGAGTAGTGAGCAAAGAAAGATTTATAAGGAAATTTAAGGTAAGTAGGCCCCGCGTCATTGGTCACTATGTGCAAATGGTCGTTTTTATTTTACTGGTTCAAACAGTCAACCTACCAAAGGATAAATAATCTAGAATGAATTGTAGCCATGTTCTCTTGACATACGAGGCCCATACCGGAGCTTACAATTAGCTTGAAGGAAACATTTTCTTTTTGTTTTAATAGACATATTTAGATTAAACCTCCCCTAACCCCAAAAAACAATAAACAGGTTGCTGTCCTTTAAACCCAAACATCCAACAATTGTAATCTGACAAGGACTTTCAAATATCTAATCCTATGGCTCGTAATGTATACGTCCTTTACTCCCGGGGGTCTTATAGTCAAATATAAATACTGTGAGATTGGGTGACCAACAAAGCGTCTTTTCAGATTGGATGCCTTCCACGCGGCGGCAATAAGAGCTTCAAAAACATCAATTTTGGGCCATTTTCAAGAAAACGGTCACTTTTTTCAAAATGGTTCAAAATCCTGCTGTATGCGCCGGTATACGCGTATAGGTTTTTTTTTCTAGCCCTCAGGGCCAGACTGGGGGGGAGGGGAGGGGGGGAGGGGGTATTATAATTTCACATTGGTGAGACGTTTCAGACCGCCGCCTGGCGCGCCACCTAGCCAGTTATAGCAAAGATGATAGACTGCGGCGCTCTGTCATCTTTGGTTATAGTGTGGACGACGGCCGCGAGAGGTAGGTAGCATGGCAGGGTATTGCATGCACCCAGAGTCTTTTCTCTTTGCAATACACCTTAGCTAGCTATTAAAGCACTCGCCACGCGCGTGTTGTTTGTTACCGGGTAATCTTCAGGAGATCAAGATGGATGCCCACGATACCGACCCAGACCTACCAAGTTTCACGCCTATAGCTGGCCTCTTATATTTTGTTGTGCATAGTCGAATAGTAACTGTTCATTGTAGATTGTGTACTTTTTGTAAACGCTGTACATGTACTTCATATAAATAGATCAAACTCAAAATGTATTTCTTTTTTTCAAAGAAAGGACTTGTGATGGCTGTTCATTAAACCAATTTGGAAGTGTACAAGTTGATGTTGATTTTATGGAGTAAAAAGTGTAGGCTTACACTTTCTTTAAATACCCGTTTACAGGGTGTGAATTCGGGGAAAAAAAACACACGAAATCCTCATTTAGGGTGTATTTTGGCTTCAGAAGAAATCCTTGTTTAGGGGGTGTCTGGAAAACATGTGGTCACGCATGCTATACAGTATTTCTACATGACTGAGATCCCCTGGGCCTTTACACCGAGCCTATACAAAAAGAGAGTGATACAGTGATTTACTTAGTAGTCCGGCCTTTCAGCCTTAAACAAAAAAGGGGTGGCTTACTTAGTTGATTTCGGGCTACCCAACATTCGTGAATAATCAAGCCCTTAGTAGTTACTATATTCACACAGAGAACCAGTGAATCCAGGTGTGCAATATAGGGACTTTTAGATTTACACGACGAGAGCGTGGACCGCCACGTGTGACATCATTTTAAGGTAATGTGACGTCCTTTTAAGGCACTGCCGGGCACGGCCCAGTGCCTTAACACAATGTCACACGCGGCAGTCCGCGCTCTCGTCCTGTAAATCTAAAAGTCCCTATTAGGATTGCAAATTCATGCAGGTAACTTACCCGCAGTCCAACAAAATTAGAGACCAAATATCAATTGCTTTAAATTTTCTCAATGTTTTTTAATTTTTCTAATTCGATTCTAGTTTGATTAATTTTGGTATGAATCAAAACAAATAAATATATAATTGGAAAGTAAAATCCTGCTTTCATCAGAGTGTGCATTTAAATGTACGAAGCAGAATCTGAATGGCTATCGCCAATTTAATGAGCTCATAACACAGCTTCTTGTCCTGTAGGATGTTACACTGACTCCTTGCCATTGATCACATTTCATCCTGTTACGAGCTATTATTATTATTATTAACCTGCTTTAGCGACCACCTGTCTACAAAGACCACCTGTCTACAAGGAACACATTTTTTGTTTTCCTTCAAAATGGTTTCTCATTGAAACATGTACTAAAGGAACCTGTCTACAAAGACCACTTTTTGCGTTTCCCTTCGGCGGCCGCTGTGGACAGGTTTGACTGTACAAAGGAATAGCAATTATGCTAGTGAGCTCCCTAACTGAACGTACATTTAACATACATATATAAATACAGCAGGGATCCTGAAACATATAAAAAAAAAAAAAATCCTTTTGTTAAGTAACTACCTACATAGACCTTTATGAATGGGGGAGGGTTATTGGAACACATTTACCCTCAAGATAGCCAATGATATTTTTTCTCCACAAAACATCTCCATTTTTAAATTTACCAGCAGTCTAGAAAAAGCAGAGTTTGCCAACATAAAATTAGTCTTTTGTTTTTTACCTAAATGACAGAAGTTTCCGCTGAAACCCTCGGCGCAAACGCATGTATCGTTCTCACATGTTCCTTCATTGAGACAAGGGTTGGTCGGTTCACATAGAACTGTTGGAAAAATATAAGAAACACAGTGGTTGACAATCAAATCTATATTCCTATGTGGTCTATCGAAGTTACAGTGATAAATAAACTGGATGAGACAAACAATTAAAGTATATAGCTTTAAAATTTCTTGTTCCTCCTATAACAATGCTTCCTTTTGTTTTGGAAATTATTACAAAGCTTGCAAAAGCTTGTCTACGCTGGAATCGCTTTTGTGAAACGCCCCTGGTGTTTTACCACTAGACGACGGAGGCGGATAGAGAGGTATTCTGCTACACCAGATGCAATCAACGACAGACAGCCTCTCAATCTAGTTTATTTGTGCCTTTCTTGCCAAAAATCTTGCCAGGAAAATTCCCGCCACAAATAGGCTATTCACTTTACTGATTTTCTCTTTGCTTAAAATCTGATAGCTTTATACTTCATTCCAGTTATTGAAATTGAAGTTATTAATGTTATCAATGAAATGAAGAATAATCAGAGTTCTGGTTATAACGGAATTATAAACTGTCTCTTGAAAAAATTGCACCAAATATTGTTCAACCCTTAGTTCACATTTTAAATTTGTCTCTTAATACAGGAGTTACACATTTAGCTATGAGGGGGGGGGGGGGGGGGGGGTAAGAGCATATTTTTCAAAAAAATTGTGCAACGACTCAGCCAGTCGGTGAATAAACAGTGGGGGGGGGGGGGGGGTAAGAGCACATTTTTTTTTGTTCGAGAAATTTTAAAATTGGCCGAACAATATTTCATTCAGTTAGGGGTGGGGGAGGGGGGGGGGGGTAAGGTCACTTTTTTGGGTAACCTTTTAGCACACACACAATTTTTTTTCTCCAGATAATCTGAAAATTTGAGTGAAAACGGACTATTATTAATGATACAAATTGGGAAAAACTGTTCTAATCGATTCCTTAATTCTCCCAACTATATTATTACAATTTAATTGCATTTTAGGTGAATGTAAATTGTCACAAAGCAATAAATTGGCTCTACATACCATTCCAGACATTTAAGTGTTGACAGATTTTTAATACCCTGTTTTATGTCTTTTTTCATGGAAAAACGGTTGGATAAATTCAAAAATTGGGAGAATTTACTGTTGATCACTGTTAGAGGGTGTTGCACAGCGACGCCTTCAAAGAAAACCATAAATATTTGTGGATTGAGAATCTTTTCAGGATTTTTTGCATGTCAGAGGGTTATTGCGGTAGAAGGAATATAATAAGTAACATTTTATACAAAAATTAAGCAATTTTTTCATCAACCTTCAACAATGTTACCGAGTCACTTTAAAGTGGTTTCAAAGTGCAAAGAGAGATGGTAGACCAGAGTTTCATTCCAGAAGGATCTCAATCTACACAAATTCAAATTACATAAAAATATGAAAAATAGAATTCATTGCTAGAATTTCTTTTTAAAGATAAGCACATTTATGTATGGCAATATCCCTACCATTAAAAAAACAGGAGTGATAACTAACAAGGAAAAGAGGTAAATTAAAAGAGATCCGTTGATTTACTTAAATTCGTTTTGGAATGAAAGTCTTGTTATTCGACAAAGCGTATTTTACAATAAATAACATTACTACATTTAATGTACCTTTTCCTATCTCACGAAATGTTTCTGAGACTTCGAATAACCAACTTCCTTGTACTCCATAGTTACTACCTGTCACCAGATCAGCCAAGGTAAGTACCAGGTTAGGATTCATACTAGCGGACCTGTAATATATTCCAGCCTTGATAAAAATAATAAAAATGATAGTAATAATGATCATTATGATGATGAAGATAATGGTGAAGATGATGGTCAGTAATGGCAATGGTTGTGATGCAGGTGTTGATGATGACCATGGAGGTGTTGATGATGAATGTGATGATGACAATGATGATGGTGATGATGATGGTGACAATGATGAAAACTGATGGGGATATTGATGATAACAACAAGTATTGATGGGACTCCTTGTGTTATCCATTAAATAACATCATGTTATTACCAAGATTTGAAAGACATCCTACAATCTTTTGTGTTAAATCACAATCTCGTAGAAATGAGTAATGACAGTTTTTTAAATGATATATATATATATATATATATATATTTTATTTTAAACGTCAGATGCAATCTTAAGGCCTATAGCTCTGATTCGTTATACGCCATCTTTTTAAAAATCAAAGCATTCTTATAAGACCATTTTCTAATAACTAAATGTCATTTATGAAAAACTAAGCTTCATAAAAACTTAAAATCAAATCGACAGTTATATTTTCTCATTTGGAAGGCATATATCTGCATTAGATTTTTCTTCAATGGCCATTCCATTTATTTATTATGTCCATAGAGGATAATTGTTCATATTTACATTAATAAATATACAGGCACTGCTTTTTGATAAGTTCCTCGATCATATTCTACTTAATTTATTATATGATTTGAGAATCATTGGGACGTGCTCATATACACTATACATGTATTGTATAATTTGTTATTTTATTTTATATGTATGTCCATATTTTTGGTAAAATGCGGAACAAATAAAACTTAAAACTTGAAACACGTTTGTCCGAATTTTGTTCAACCCCATTAGTCTCAAGGCCCTGTTTTTAGTACACACTCAATATAGATCATGATGAATATACTTTTTACTTTCTTTCTTCTTTTTCTTCTTCTTTCTCTTTTGATATACCCACCCTTTTCTTTTATATTCTCAAATCTGAAGCAGGTATTTTTTAAAAATTATTCCTTGATATGGTATAATAGTAGGGGGGTACAACAGTATACCTAAGTAAATATGCTAACAAATCATTTTTGCATAGTTTTCACATTCTCTTCTATTCTTGTGTTCGTTTAGAACTCTTCTCTCTACTTGATTTCATTAACAACTCTTATTGAAAGTTGAATGAATTAATGAATAGTTCTTGCTTTTACAGATCTCAATCTTCGTCTGCTTCTCAGTTGTATGTACCGGTAATTAAGGGGGTGGGTTGGATCAGACATAATGATTAGGGTCTTAGAAACTACTCTTTCCTTACAGACCTCATTTAGGTCAACGGTATGGTTCATTATTTTGCTGGCTTGTTTTACAACCCTTCTCAGCTTTTGTTCGTCTCTTTGCTTTGCAGTATTAAACCAGATAGTGGAATGAAATGTGATAGTACTCTAAATGATTGACTAGACTGAGAAACAGAAATCTATTGTTCACATGAAAGTACTTTTACTTTCTAAGAAAATACATACGCTGGTTGTATTTTGTTAGGGTGCACTTTGACTTGTCTTCCCAAGAAAGCTTATTGTCGATTTATGTGCCTAGGTATCTATGACTTTCAACATTCGCAATGGTATCATAATTAAAGTATACAGGTCTTTCAATGGGTTCAAAACATTTCTTTTGCCTAAAGTCAAAAACGAATTATTTTGTTTTCTTTGAATTCAACAGTATATGGTTTTCCCCAACACCAATTTTCGATCATGGAAATGGTAGCTCTGTACCGGGTAATCAAATTCATTTTCATTTTCATTTTCATCCACCTGCTATACTATCATCTGCATATTTTATTATGTGAACAGATGGGGTATTGGACATACATTCATTGGTGTAAAGGGTTAGTAGGGTCGCAGTGAGGACACATTCTTGTGGGGGTACCAATTGTTGTGATAAGTGCGTCAGAGAGAACACCGTTGACCTTGACATTCTGTGTCTTTTCACGGAGGAAGTCTTGCAGCCACAATAAAGAGATGGCTGAACTTGTAGATGTTGAAGTTTCTGTAGTAGGATAAGGGGTTCTATAGTGTTAAATGCCGATGAGAAGTCAATAAAAGTTGCTCTCTCCTTACCTTATCTAAGTGTTCTTACAGCATGTTTGTCAAGGTGAGAACTGCATCAGTAACGCAACACGTCTTCGCTTTATATACAAACTGGTTTACATCGAGTATAGCGGGAGAACTGAGCATATCAACTTTGCAAGTACCAGTCTTTCCAGGCTTTTCATAATACCCGATGTAGCATAGCACCTTGATGTTTCTTGGGCAGGAGCTCACGTTGCGTTGCAAGAAGGCACGGGTGGAGTTTGCCTTCTTGGCAACCAGGCTAATATGGTGATTCCAGCTCATATTTTGCTGTATGTGTATACCAAGATACTTGGAAGAGCTGACCTTTTCCAGTGATTGACCATGGATTAAGTATGTTAATTGGGGTCCTCTTTTTAGTGACTGAGATGGTCTGACATTTATGAGGATTAAATCTCATCAGCCAGTCTGATTCCCACTGCTGCAGGGAGTTGAGATCCTCTTCCAGTTTTTTTTTGCATCATCTTGAGAGCAAATCTTGCGGTAGAGGAGACATTCATCTGCAAACAATCTGGTTGTTGATTGGGTAGAGACACTTGTCAGGTAGGTCGTTGATGTACGTAAAGTAGGAAGAGAAGCGGGCCGAGGACACTACATTGCGGTACCCCTGATGAGACTGGGACAGTGTCTGAGACATCCATTGAGAACTACTTTCTGTGTTCTGTTGTGGAGGAAGTATCCAGCTCAGATCAGTGTAGACTGATGGATGCCATAGAATTTCAGTTTGTATAGAAGTCGATGGTGAGGGACTTTGTCGAAGGCCTTTGAGAAATCTAACATAATCATGTCATGCTGTTCGCCTCTGTTTAGTCCCTTGGCAAGGTCGTCACAGGTGAGGATGAATTTGTTGATACACAAACGACGTTTGCGAAATCCATGCTGGGCATTTGAAGGGATGTTATTTTCATCAAGGTGACTCATGGTGCGCCAGCTGCAGCTGATATGCTTCAAGATTTTGCATGGAATAGTTGTCAGAGAAATGGGTCTATAATTATGTGGAATGCTCCTTTCTTAAACACAGGAGCAACATTTGTCACCCTCCAGTCATCTGGAATAACGCCTTGTACAACAGATGCTTTGAATAATGTTGTAAGTACTGGGGTGACTTCATCAGCAAGTACCTTGAGTAACCCAGCCGATATTCAGTCCGCGCCTGTCGCTTTGTGGAGGATCAAGTCCAGATAACAGCTTGTTGACACCAGCTGGAGAGATGTAAATGTCTTCCATGGAGGGATAAGGAATATCGCCTTTGTCTGGGATATTAGTTGAGAACTCATCTTTGGTAAATACTGATGCAAACTGTTTGTTGAGGGTGTCTGCCTTAGAGGTACAGTCAGACTGGATGATTCCTCCAGTTGTATCACATTTCTTACTGTTAATGAATGACCAAAACCGTTTCTGGTTGCATTTGGACTCGGGTGAAATGATGTTCCTGATGTAGTCATTGTTTGTTTGCATGCAGATCTTGACTATTTCTTCAGGGCTAGGTATTTCTCTTCCAAACACTGATCCAATTTTATGGAGTAGAAGCCATTTATCTCAATGTTGTTAGATTGAACGTCTGAACATAACCAAGTTTCCGTCATATATACAAGACTTGAGTTTCTGTATTCATGATAACTCACGTTTTGTTGCAGTTCGTCAATTTCGTTCGTAATTGACCTTACGTTACTAAGGGCGCCGTAAGTAGGGGGCAGAGGGGGGGGGGGGGGGTCGCCCCATAGGGAAAAGTGGGGGGCAAAACGCAATCTCCCCCCCCCCCCCCCCCCCCCCGAAAAAAAATCAGCAGTAAAGGAGTAAAATAGTGTGTACTTGTTAACCAAAAAGAAAATTAGAAATAATGAAACCTGAATTGAATCACATAAAAATTATATTCCATTCAAAGAAAAGGAGATTGAGTTTCCTAAATATTCTGCATGTCCCTATATTTATCAAAGGACGATTTTATAATAGCAATACATGTATATCGTGGAAATAGTGTGAGAGGATGGGAAAGCGTGTGTGTATTGTATTATAGGGTTGAGATGGGGGAGGGGGCTGGGGGGGGGGGGGGTCAGTTGGCCCCCAAATAAATTTGAACATGATTTATTTCTAATTCGATACCAGTGAGTTACAAATATTGCTGAAATATAATGATTTTCCGGGATTTTCCCCCATTTTTGCGGTAAATTATACTTCTTTATGCGTTTGTTGGAAAATTACGAATTCCCAAATTTACAGTCGGGCCAAAAATATGCTTATTTAAAAGCCTTCATGTCAGCACCTGCAGAATAGCGGGGCTCCGGGGAGTCACTTACTTAAAAAAAAAAGCATGTGAAAGAGAAAAAGAAAGAATGAGTGACCTGCCAGTGTCACAAATGGGGTATCAAACTATATGCTCATCTGACCGTAATTAAACGCCTAAAACCCCGACTTGACGGGGGCTCTGCCCCCTGGACCACACCAAGGGCTTAAGGCAGGCCTCTAAATGCTCATCTAACCTTAAAAAAATACATAAAACCCCTGAACTTCCGGAGGCTCTCCCTCTGGACCCCATCAGGGGCCCTGAGGAGGGCTTCTGGATGCTCATCTGACCGTTATCAGATACATTAAACAAAACACTGCGCTTCCGGGGGCTCTACCCCCTGGACCCCACCAAGAGCCCTAAAGCGGGCACCTGGAAGCACATCTGACCGTAATTAAATGCCTAAAACCTCTCAGTTTCAAAGGGCTCAGCCCCTAGACCCCGCCAATTGGTGACCTGCCAGTGTCACAATAGGGTATCAATATATGCTCATCTAATACTGTAATTAAATGCCTGAAACTCCGGAGTTTCCGAGGGCTTCGCCCCTTGACCGCTCTACCTGATCGTTAATACTCCACTTTGAAAAACGTTCCGCGGGGCCCGCATGTAACATGTTAGAGTGGTTTTTGCTCATTACGCCACTGCCCCTAAAAGTTAAGCACCCTAAAATGTTTGCCCCCACCCCGAATCCAAACTGCTTCCGGCACGCCTCAATG